ATATCGCAGATTTTGGTCATAAATAGGGTAAGGGTTTTGGGAGGCGGGCCACACACCCCCACCCAATTTTTCTGGAAGTACTCCCTCCCCCGGGGCCAAACCATCGACGTTGGCGCCAAATGCGATCATTTGGTCAGGTCGGTGCAAACTTCAACAATACCATGGATAAACTCGGTCACCCCAAAACGCAGACCATGCAGACTGCAGACTGCAGACCACAGACCGTGTAGACCATGCAGACTGCAGACTGAAGACTGAGTACTTTTTTTTCTTATTCTTGTTTTTGCATTTGCTTTTGACTGGCATATTTTTTGGTTCTGTTCAATTATATATCAGAGTGTTTGTTATCCACAGGCCACGCAAACTCGGTGGTATGTGACTGTTGATGTTTAGAGATTTTGCAAGGGAACTCCCTTTAGCCCTAAATAGGCTTACGTAAAGCTATTTTAAAATGTAGAAATATACTTCACTTGTATCTTGTATTATAATTTCACACGTAACATGCTTATTTTGTACTCTTGGTATACAAAATGTAATTCCAAATGGCTCTTGGAGTGTGACTGCGATCACGCGAAAAAACCTAGCGCATGATAAGACCACAGAAAACCCAATATCATTTGAAATTCTTAGCGCAGTACGGTTGTCGTGATGAGTCGATGCGATAGTTAATATATCTGTCCTTATGGCAGTTGTGTTTTTGTGCATGGCGATTTAGACTACGAGTTGAGTAGTCCCTCTTTCACTTAGTCCATCGTGCGTGACGCATACGGGATACCTCGAGGAAAAAAATTCATGTGAGCATTTTTTGCCTCGAGGTTTCCTTACGGTCACGCTCAACTAAGCGAAAGAGGGAATGCCCCTAGTCTAATGACGATTCTGTACTTTGTGGAGCAAAAGCGATTTGTAGGACAAGGTCGCTTAGAGTCACCGTCCTTGCTTTGTCGGTTTTATGAATCAGTTAAGAGGAGAACGAACACTAAGAAAATCGAAAAAAAAAAACAAAAAAAAAACACAACAACAACAACAAACTAGACAATAAATAAAACCACAAACCGGTCAAAAATTGACACAATATTTGCGCCCAGAATGTATGTAAGTTTATTTTTATGCTTGGTTTTAGTATATTTAGGACCAGTAAAGGGAATTTCCCATAGAAAGTCTATTAAACACGTGAATCAACAGTCAGATGTAAAGTTTGTGCCGCTTGTGGATAAATAACAAACATTAGGACATATTGAACACTATTTTGTCACTAGAAGCGAAAAAAGTGAGTCAAGTATTAGAAAAAAAGTACTCAGTCTGCACGGTCTGCACGTTCTGGATGGTCTCAATCTTGAATGCTATTATCGCTGTCATAATAATCATCGCTGTCATAATGCTATTATCGCTGTCATAATAATTAACCATTCGCACTGCATGACTATTTCCTGTCTGGTCTTCTCATACTCTTGCGGTGAGATGCGTGACAGGTCGATTACCGCAAAGTACACGGCGATGACAGATTTTTCGATCTCGTAACACAACTCACCGGAAATTAGAAACCATACCCTGCTGCGAATTTCAGAATCGCATGAATCTCGTCATGCAAGTGCCCATCGTGTTTTATCACAGTGTAATACACGGCTTAGGCTTCTTTATTTGTTAATTTGAGCAAACCTTTTTCCAACTACCCACCTTGTGGGAGAGGGAGGTCGCGGTTTTCGTTGACACATGCATTAGGTAGCAGCTTTCGCATGGCTTGATACCGTTAAGAGAACAGTAGAATGAACAACAGAGACAACAATGACGACAACTAGAATAACAAGCTCACGAGAGTCACAACACTTCTGTTTTAAAATTATAAATACCACCGTTTAATACTCCAGACTAACTCTGTTAGAATGCAGTTTTTCGTAAAATGGCCGGCTGTCCTCAATCGCTTTCACGACATTGGCTGGGTATGTCACACACAGTTCAGTGGATGAGCTCTCATGCCTGTCGACCTCTTTGACGAAACCACTGCTGTTGACGGCGGTAGAATACCAAGCAACACACATTTCATCCCAAGTCCAGGCTGCGGGAACTTCACCTGCCTTCCAAGAGGTCATGTGATCTTCGTATTGAATGCCAACACCCTCACAGTAAGCCTTCATCACCTGCTTGGGTGAGCTGAGAAGGTCATCTGCATCGACAACTACAGGGTCGGGATCGATATTTTTTTTCACATATTCATACATCTCGTGCAGCTCCTGATAGCCAGCTTCATCAGGCTCGAAGTAATCCCAACCAGAAGATTGGATTGCTGGGTTTTCACTCACTCGATACTGCGAGAGGATTGCTTTGTTTGGGTCTCGAATGAGGAATGAATGTTTCGCGTCATGAAACCATTCTTCTAACATTCCAAGTCGCCCTTTCAAGTAATAAGCCATGTCTTTAACGAAAATCACGTCTGTGGCATCGCCTATTCCTCGATTCAATATAGATCTCGCCATGCTTTCGTAGCTCATCGTCTGGTCGACGGCTCGCGCCTCGTAACGCCGACTTTGCCTCTCTGGGCCAAAGTAGTATGCAAATTTGAACGGTTCTGAAATCACTTGAACTTTCGACAGAGACATGATGGAACGAGTGAATACCGAGGAACACGAACGTAAACAAGTCCAAAGAAAAACGCGCGGCGTCGGTGGACGAAAGAGACTGGGGCGAGGACGGCGTTGTTCGCGCCAAAATATAAACCTTTAGCACCCTTCATTTGCCGACGGCAACTTGCCGATGGCAACTTGCCGATGTCTTTGAAAATGAACAAATTTAAGACTTGTCGAAAGATACTTTTTCTTAGCTATGCAGACAACAACATTTCGGACGAAGAATTTGTTCCATT